GAAATTTAAGAAATCACAAATACAGTAAGACCCCGCTTAACGCTGTTTCGGTTTAGCGCTCTTTTATTTCAACCTGGGGATTCTCCGAAATTGTGCGCAGCGCTAGGTTTCCAAATAACATATCTGAAACAGTGTAGTTGTGTTTCTTGCTTTGTGGACGCATTTTTATCATTTGAAACATTTGTTGACATTATTGTAAGTTTAAATTTGTATAATACTATAATGATTAATACAGTGACAAATATTATGATCTTTAGTTTTTATCATGGGTGATAATAAAAAACAAGAGAAGAAAGCAACCAGAAAAAGCATTTCACTGGAAACTCAAATGCAAGTGATTAGAAGATTAGATCCTGGTGAACGTAATCTCAAATTAGTGCTGCATTGATTTTGGCAACTTCAACAATAAGGACAATTCTTAAGAATAAAGAAAAAATACTGTCATCGGCAACTGCAACTAGAATTACCCGTTCTAAAAATAACATTATAGAGGAAATGGAAAAACGACTGTCTATATGGATTGACGACGAAATTGAACGCAACATGCCATTAAGCCAATCTATCATAATGCCTTCTTGACAAAAAGGCAGAAATTTGGAAAACCCAGAATAGACTGAATGATCTGACTGAGAATTTTATTTGTTTTTAAAAGTATATGCGTTTATATTGTTTTTATTTTTGTAAGAAATAAATGTTTGATTTTATTTTTATTAAAAAAACATTATTAAATTTAATGCCTAACCATTTTTTATCCGTCTTCCCCTAACCCCATTATTTATATGTTAAGATAGCCTCGCTTAGCGCTGTTTCGCATTACGCTCTACTTCGATGGAACGTATCCCCCGCGTTAAGCGGGGTCTTACTGTACCTGAAAAAATTTATTATGTGTGTGTGGGGAGGAATCCAGTAAATTAAGCAGCACAACAGTTTGGTACTCTTTGATTATCCGCACCTCCAGTTTCAACATACGCTAAAATTGCTCTGCTTACGGTATGAAAGATAACAAAAATTTCTAACTATGTAAAACACACAATCTTACATACTTCATTAATTTTACCTAAAAGCACACACAGAATAAATAAAACTAAACAGACATTTTCAAAAGTCTTATAAGATCTGTCGTGACTTATGCACCAGAGACATTTCACTTTATATGATGACGAAGCTCTAGGAATTTTTGAGCAAAAGATCTTACGAATTGTTGGTGGGGTCCAAGTGGATGGATTAGGCAGAAGAAGATCTAATTTAGAAATCTATAAAATTTACAAACAACCTGATGTTGTAAAATTCGTCAAGTTACAGAGACTTAAACAGGCTGGCCTTTTGGCTAAAATGAATGAAGTCGTTACTGCAAGAAAATTTTTCTGGCAAAGCTCAGACAGATCCCAGCTGAGATAGATTGATTACGTCAAAAAAGATCTAAATATTTTAACGGTTAAAAACTGGAAAACAATTGCCAAAATTAGAGATGTCTGAAGAAGGCCAGAGCCCACTCGGCCAAGTCATTCAAGAAGAAGAAACAGACATTAATGATTTATTATTTTTAGCTCTGTTAACATATATACTTACACAGAACTGAAGAAGTGAACTGAACACAGAACTGAACTTTAAAGAGCAGCATACTAAAGAGAGTGAATAATTTTGGACAGTTTAAAACATTCCAAACTCTTCTTAGATCAAAAATAAATAAATAAATAATTAACAATTAAAAAAATCCAAAAGCTTTCAGATTTTATATTACGCCCAAAAAGGTGTTTTTTCATTTACACAGACATACATATTTACAGGGCATTTGGGATAAAAATATTTAAAAACAGCATATCTTGAGAATTTGCAATAGACAGTCTCTTGCTCTAGTGATAAAAATAATTTTTCCCTACAGTATTGCTATTGCTCGCTTTGAAATCGTAGAGTTGGTTAATGAAACATTCGTTAATGTTTTACAAAATATGAAACAGACAATAAAACAAATTCCAATTCGAGATTATCAGGTCCTCATATTCCGATGGAGACAGGTCTGTGGAGTCTGAGTCGGAATCAGAGTTAGGCAGATTTTTGGATAAAAGAAGTCGGAGATGGAGTCTTGTAGTTTTTGTTCGACACTTTCAATTTGAAATGAAATGAAAGTGAATTGAAAAAGAAAATTAATGACAAACTGAGTTATTATTTTTATTTAAGGACTATATATCTGAATAATAGTTAGTTATTTTCCATTTGATTGACATATTAATAAATAAATATAAGGGAGGAGGATGGATGTGATATTTGCCCCTATTCATTAAATTGATTCATTTAGCTACTTTTCCAGCTCATAGATGGCATTATTGTAGTATAATTCACAACAAGAAAAAGGAGCCCATGGCTGAAAAATGCATCAAATGCTAAAATCTCATTGATACCCATGCTACAAATCTCATTGTTAAATTTAGGCAAGCAGCAATAGCTGCAAGGATTCCCAAAAGTAATGCCATTCTTCATTATAGATCAAGCAACGTGATGGGGAAGTATATATGTGATGATAAAGAGGGTGTTCAAATTAAGAACTTTTGAGAAGATGTAGATAACCCTGATGTTTCACTAACAGGAACACTGTGGAATGATCTGGCAGAATTGGAAACTTTTTTCTACACTGTATACAGCCACAAAAAAGCTACAAACTGAAGAATTAACAGGAGGCTTGTTTCTGCAAAAATGAAAAAAATGTGATGTTTGTTCTTTTTAAAATGGGACGGCTTACTGCAGAAGAAATCATTTTCCCAATGAAGAAAAGAGAAACTAGTTTGCTAGACAATGTGATCTTGCTGGGTTCAATATATGTAGATCCAAAACACAGAAATTTGTCGGATGACTAACAAATTAAAAAGGCAAAGAAAGGCATCTATGAACTTTCACTGAGAATGAAATTATTATCCGAACAACTGGAGTATTCAAATCATGACAGTTAGACTACAGACACTGCAACTGAGTCTCTATCATTGCTGAATTAGATTTTGAGAAATATTTGGATAATATTGACAAGGCTAAGGCAAAGCAAATGAAAATAAAGAGCCAAGAGACTTTAGATATAAAAATGAGAAAAAAAAAAAAAAAAAAAAATACAAACAAGATTTCTACGCAGCCCTTGAAGAAATACAGAAATATGAATGCTCTTGCAATACACCTCTTTAGAACTTATACAAATCTATCCTGAAAAGTTAAAAGAAGTAGCCCTAACAGTAACAGCTCTTTCTCCTATTGAAGTTTGTGTGGAAAGACTTTCTCAGCTCTGAAGTTATCAAATCAGATCTATAGTCCTTTACCAAAGATCTTGCCAAAGCTGTACTGTTTCTTAGAAATTACTAATGTTAGTTTTTCCATTTCATAATAAATGTTAATTAATATAAATAATCTGCTATGTCATCAATTTTTTTTTCTGTAGCACCTATTACTTCTTTTATACTTAAAAAAAAATTACTTATAACACATGTATATATATTTACATATATATGAGAGAGTCAAGAGTTTTTAAATTCTAGGAGTCGGAGTCGGTCATTTTCCCTACTGACTCCACAGCCCTAGATGACTATATTATTCAAAATTTGATGGCTCTAAGTAGTACTGTTTTTTTGCAATATGAGAAATATACATACAATCATACAGATTCTTCATTATTTCATGTATTAAAATCTAACAGATGGTGATAACATTTGGTGGCAACAATTTGAAAAGTGATACAGACTTATGTAGTGACTCAACGCAAAATCCTGTCCTGACTAATAGGCGTATTAGTTTCAGCCTAAAAACTAATGTTACCCCTTTTTTATTAACCCCTTGGGTTAAAAAAAATGTAACAAATTAAAAAATATAAATTCCAAACTCTTAAACAACTATTACCCTCAGTGTCTATAACAGCCAACTTAAAAATCTTTGACTCCATGTTTGAAACATTCTTTTCTGAAATCACTACTTCAATAAGATTTTAATCATTTGCACTATATTGATAACACTTTAAAAAATATATGAACATTATAAAATTTGAGCATACGAAAATAAGTATCAAAATACTTGCCATTTCAATATACATAAAATTATTACACTGCTCCAAATCCTTACCTTATTAAAAGTGATGACAAGATACCAGGAAAGAATGCAAGCAATTTATATAAATATTTAATGAAAATTTCTATGACTGCCACTAAACAAATAGAAGATTCACTGAATTTAATAAAAGAGAATTTCATTACCCCTTCTTTCTCTGTATACCAATCGAAATACATGTACAATAATACATATATAAGCACAAGACTTTTAATTTGTGACTAATTATGACTATTTTCTGAAGCAAAACAAAAATTCAAATATTGAGAAAATTAAAGCAGTATCTCAATTCAGCTTTACAGAAGGTAATTTGTATCATGCAAATATTTTTATTAAATATATAAAAAAAAAAACTTTTTTAAAATGTATCAAATCTGCTAAGTAAACACGAATTAAATAAAAATTTAAATGCTTTCTGAAATAATTGCAGATTGCAAAACTTAAATAGATTACTTAAAATTTTAATACAGAACTTCGCACAGCTGTAACAAATTTGCATTCCTCCTCCCCCCAAAAAATAAAACTTTTCAATTTTACAAAGTAAAGAAATTCGGAAGACGGAAATTTATTTTTTATAAATTTAATTTTTCAATTAGTTGAGATAAAAAACAGACATTACACTGAAAAACATATCACGATATATTTATGCTGCTTCATGTAAGGAATATTTAATTACGTATTCTATAATACCTTAATATACCACAGTAAACAATGAGGAAGTTAAACTTATGATGTCATCAGAATGGCAGGATCACGAAAATGCCTCAGTTCAAATGTTACTTTAAATCGAAAGGTCAGATTGTGTAATTAAAAAAAAAAAAAAATAAACATCAAATCATATGGTTTCTTCCCATGGAAAGTGGAGCAATATATTTAGTAAACATTGATACACAATCATACCCTTTAATTAATCTCATACTCACCAGCAAGAAGATTTATATTTAATGCGTTTGGTTAATTACTTCTTTCTAACATTTTAAATTATGAAAAGCATTAAAATATATTTTCGTATAACTCGATTTTATGAAATTTGGAAATGACCTGGTTACACATCGACTCCGTAACAAGCGAACCCACCATACCAAAACATTCGCCATGTTCATCTGTAATAAATAGTAACAGTTGAAGTGTTTTATGCCAGCTCCATCGTTTTAAGAATCGCTCAGATTCGTTTCTAGCCAGTTCTCAAATTTGAATTATTCTGTTGTTTAAATAATGCCAGTATTCTGCCAAATAACTTTTTGAGCATTCACAAGTCAGTTTAATCAGAAATTTGGAAATCATTACTCGGTTACTGCCAAGGAGGTTCTAGCATGATTCATAAATGCACATAAGTATCGCCACTGAAGGGAGGTTTCACTATTAGACCAGCAAACTACTCTTGCTCTTGTGACTCATCATCTTGAATCTTTGAAACTGTGCATACTAAGATCGTATAATGGTATCGAGTACTAAGATGAAAAAACATCTTTTTTCCTCGGCCTTCGATAATAAAAGTCAAGGGTAAAAAGAAGGCTTGCATGAAGTGAGGGTGAGTTCCTGTCCGTGCTAGCGAGGCGTTGGCTAGCGGCGGCGAAAGTTAAGTTCCTCTAGACCGTAGGTATATAGGAGCCTTAGCGAAAGTGGAAGACGGTCACTAGACATTGACTCTAGTGACGCTGCGGGGGTAAACCAAAGATAAAGGATCAAGGAAGGGTTCAATTAAGAGGCTCATAGGCTTAATGGTTTTATCAAAACCGACTCTACTAACTGTAACGTCACAAGTTATGGTCATCGGGGAGCTGGTCAACAAGTAGAGTCAGTTTTGGTCTCATGCTTTCGAGATATCGAGGAATATGTCACCCGTCGGAAATTTACAGTTGTACCCGTCTGTGATTAAACTGATGACTCTGAGGAGTTGATGATATGTGCTGTGTTTATATCTGAAACCGAATTGTTCATCTGGATAAAATTGGATGAAGGGTGAAATTTCTGAATGTAAAACAATAGTAGTTTTTCTGCAATTTTTGAAAGGTGACTGAATTGGAGGAGGAAAACTGACGAAAATGCATGTGGGGCAAAAAATATTTTAAACTGTTTCAGCTACCTCTTCGTATAACATCATATTTGTTCTAATTCAGAAGTCAAACAAAAATCAGCGTTAAACGCTGATTTTTGTTGTTTGACTTCTGAATTAGTATTTATTCGGCGTGTTATTGTGTCTTAATCATATTTGTTGTTACGAAGTTTAGTTTCTCTAGATTGGAAGGAAGAAAAAAACGTAAGCATAAAAAGTTCGCTTCGATGTTGTAATTCTAACGTCTTCTTTTGTTGTTGCGAATTAAAATACGCTTTATCCATTCTGGAATTATCATTTAAGTTATTAATTTATCCTATGTATTGTCTGAGCATAACGTCCACAACAACATGCAAGAGACTCACTTAGACCAGCACTCAAAGTATTATATGCTAATTATGATCCTTACCTAACGGATTGAGAGACTGGCAGAGGTGGCGGCATAATCACATTTGTTAAAAGGAATATAAAACATTCTCAAATACCGAATCCCATCACCATTTTCGAAAGTAACGCAATAGAAATTTTCATAGAACACAAAAAATTAAAAAATATCTAATGTATACATCTCACCAAATAGCAATCCCAGTTCACAAGAACTGCTTCACCACCTAAATTCCCATACTTATACACTTCTTCATCTCAATAATATTATAAACGGATGCATTATTTCTGCAATCCCAGCCCTCTCATCCGATTGCAACCCCATTCTACTTGAAATCCACAGTATCCCTCCCCTCATTGCAGAGAAATATTGGAGTTACAAATTGGATCAAATAACTCAGAAATTCTGAATAACTCTGCACAAGGAAATCCATGCATCAACAATAAAAAAGAATTATAACAAGAAATCTCAGAATTTACTAACTGCATCAATTTGGCATTGTTAAGAAACTTTTAATTACTTTATGCAGATTTCTATTAAAATAAAAAATATTTTATTAAAATTATAATGTTTAAATTGCATTAAAATATGAACAGATATGCAACATTTTCAAATATGAATGACAATATTCAAGAAAAGCAAAACGAAAATTTATCGGAGAAGATATATCGATAAATTTATCCTAAACTGAATATACCGGCACATGCAGGACATTTAAATCTGCATCAGACTGTGAATTTTAGATCGTACACTTTCGAAACGAATAATAAGAAAAATAATTTCCGGGTTATTTCGTTTTGTTCTCTTCGCACTTTGCCATAATGTTACCATAGCAACAAAAGTTACCGAGTGTTGCCAGAAAAATGAAAATCCATTTATGCACGTGAGTTATTTCCTTCAAGGTGATAGCGATGTTGCGAAATTTGCAAATCTAGGAAATGTACTGTGAACCGTACTTAAAGTTCACTTTTGTTTGCACTTTGATGAGAATTTAAGATATAAACTAGCGGTGTAGTTTTTCAAAACATTATTTTGTTTTCTTGGGTTTTTTTAATATGCGCATGTTTTTTCATGACATATTTTGGTATACTCTTTAAATTTTGAAATCAGCTGGCCTGTTTCTGTTTTGCTGATCTCCTTACATTTTGCTTGTAATAATTTACGTAACTGTGCTTAATTATTTGTTTTTATTGTTAGATAGTGAAGAGCTTAATAATAATTATTTATTATCAGTTTGAAATTAAAGATTTTTTAATTATTCTTTTCACAGTATTTTGGGATTTCAAGCTTATTCCTTTTTTCCAAATAGTGTAGAAAAATGATTTTCGAAATTTCAAATATTTTTCCTTTTTTGAAAATTGTGCAGAAGAGTAATTTGCAAAATGTTTGAATTATTACATGTAATTTTAAAATTAATTCATTGAATTTCTGAGTAGCAGGTATTTATGTTTATAATTAATGATGCTTATAAAACGATTGAATTTTTATTATTACTTTTCAGATTCCCTAGAAAGCTGTAGACTAATAAAAGAAAAATAACTATGTTTTATAAGAAAATTCAGTTTAAAAAATAAAGCTTCTCTTATTTTCTTCTGAGCATTAAAACCTGTAGGTAATTATCAGTATTTTGTAAATATATTTCTAAGACTAAATTCTTTTAACAATCTAAATTTAAATTTACTTTGCATATTTTTTTTAATTTGTATTTCTGTGGAGTGTTGTTTCATCTTGATAAGTTCTTTATTTTTATTACATATTGAATATTTATGAATTAATATTGTATACTATTGTACTGATTAAAAGGTGCTTCCTTATTAAAGTAACCGCTGCACTTAGTTGCCCATATTAGTGAACTTAAGTGCCCAATCTATAACATGAAAATCTCAAATGTTTGCAAAAGTATATGCAGTGGTTATTTTAACATAGAAATATTTATTATAAATCTCCAAGTCAGAAAAGCATAGCACCTTCAAGCGTAGTTTTAACTTCTTTAAAAAAAAAATTTAAAAGTAATTAACACATCTTTGTGCATTGCAGTTTTTTATTTATTTGAAAAAAGAAAATGCACTTTTTTTTTTAAAACCCTTCCTTGTATAACTTATATGTTTGGACTTCAAAGATAATTATTCTCTTGAGCTAAGTGGGATTTTTTGTAAGGGAAATTATCACCAATTTTGCTTATCTTTGTTGTACATTGTGTAAAGTAGTACTTTGAGATTGTAAGATCTTGAAATTATAACATATGGTTCTAGTATACTTAAAGCAGGTGAACTTTGCCATAAATACTATCACATCTTTTTTTTTTTAAGTACTGTCATAGGATCCATCTCTAAAATTTACTTTTACTTATCTTTATTAAATCTCTAATAAAGCCTCACTAAAATAAACTAACTTTACAATAAATTTCAAACAATGCCATGTACACAGTGTTATGTTTTAACTTAAAAAAACATCAGCAAATAGCACAATCTAGGCATCGCACATGCCTTAGCATGGTGCAAATCAACAAAATAAACTAAAAAAAATTTCAAACAATTCAAAAAAACAACAGTAATGACAGAAATTTGTAGCAAAAAAAAACAATGAACATAACATTCTACAAAATAAGAATAACAATAAAATAAAATGTGCTTACCATTGTGAATGCTTCTTCAAACAGCAGAAATATCAATTTCAAACATCAGCAGAACTCATAAATTTCCATCACTTTATCCTTTCCCCCTATCTTCTGAGACACAGAGCATACAAAGTATACATTCGTGAATAAAATTTCGCCAGTAGCTTTTAATACTAAATTTACATTGCACACAATCCAAAATACGCGACTGAAATTTTGCCACCACATCTTTCATTGCAATATAAGCCATTTCAAAATGCCCACCAAACCAACCAATTAGCCAAAAAAAACCACTCCAGCAAAATCAAGTTTCAACATTAAATGGGTTGCCATACAAACAACATCGTGCCCCAAACCATCGCTGAACACACAGTTGCCCCCCAAACCAGCTCAGAACACATATCACCACATTTGGCGACACCATACATCTGAGGGTGTAATTAAGTGTGATTTTTGGACTAACAGAGTTGGGCAACAGATGACTTCTGTGTTTCCTTTTTGCTAACATATGCCTCATGTTCTTTAAGTAGAAATTTTAAGATTCTTTTAGTTTAACTACTGTAAATTAAACCACATTGGCAAGGAATCCTGTAAATATACCAGAAATTCATATCTGGAAAGTATGGAACTAGGAATTTTATTAATAGAAGATTAAACGACTCGAAAGTTAAATTTCTATAAAATATGTGCAATTTTATAGCTAATTGATCAAAAGAAAGGAATGATCTCCTCAAAGAGTGTGCCTTTTGGTGTGTTGAGATGAGAAGTTTTTAACTGCTTTGTTAATAATGTTGGGTGAAAAGCCCTTGTCAGTAGCAGCTGCTTTTAAGTAATTAGTTCTTGATCAAGAGCCAATCTGAAGGAACAAACTTGAAGTGCATGGAAAACAAAGGAATAAAATGAAGCTAACTTCTGTTTAATCGGATGACATGATTTGAAGTGTTCTGGGAGGCAACTGATGAAGGTTAATGGTAAACAGTAGTACTGAAGTTGGATGTGTTATGTGTGATCAGAATGTCGAGGAATGGAAGAAAATTGGATGTCTTAAGCTTTGCTTCCTTTTTCTACGTGGTGTGTTTGCCATTTTGTGATTGTATGAATATCGGTAGATGTTTTCCAGTTTTTAAAGTCTGATTTATGGTTTACACATTTTAATTTTTCTTATTTGATTTTGTGCTGTGATTATCTAATTACATGCTTGCTAGGTGCAAATATTTTGTTTTGTGTTCATTTTTTTTAGTGTGAAATTTTTTCCATGTTTTGAGCTTTTATTTTTGGTTAGTTTGATTTCCTTCATTATTTATCCTGCCTTCATCCATTAATCGTTTCACAAAATTACGCCTGAAACGACAGAAATTTCTGAATCACCTTGACTTTTTACTAAAGTTTAAACAAAAAATTAATTCCCTATTTTATTCAGATTAAGTCTAATCAAATACTTTCAATCGTGTTTCAAGAATTTTTGTAAACTGCAAACTAGCCTTGCTTGGGTCCATCATAATAGATACACACCAACAGTTATCTAGATTTGAACTTAAGTTATATAAGCTTCATCTGAAACTCGCTAATTCATATTCAAAATTCAGTTTCATTGAACAAAAGTCCTGATCTAGAATTGAAAATGTAGTTAACCATCATAAAAAACACCCTTGCAATTAAATTCCCAAACCATCTTTCAATTTAAGTAGTTCAAAAAATCTTCCATTGTAAACATTAAGCCAATAGTTAATATTTCTAATGTTAGTTTATCAGAAGAACAAGAGAGAATTCTGAAATATAATTTTAACTTCTTGCAGACCTCAAAATCCTCGATTCCAAAGATTTTGATTCCTATCGAAAAAGCTTTCAAATTCAGTAAAGTTTCAGAAAGAAATTATTAGGCATCTTTTTTCTCAGGATGTGAAATTCAACAGTATGCCTTTGAAACCAAATCTATGTGCAAGAGAAAGACCTACGATACTTGGAATTAATTCTAACAAGGGCATTATCATTTCAGAGGCTGACAAAGGTGGCGAGATAGTAGTCATGGATAAGAACATTTGCATCGATGGTTTCAGTAAACTCTTAAAGAAGGACCATATAATCCAATCCCTAAAGACCCTTCACCTTTGAAACTTTCAAAAATAAAAACTGTGATCAAATCTTCACAGATCCTCTTGACCAACTTAAAACAATTGCTTATCCCATCTGTTGTGAATTGTGCCAGATTACATACTCTTCCCAAAATTCATGAAAATGGTATTCGTTTCCATCCTATTGTATCAAATTTAGGCATTGCCTCATTCACGGTCGTTTATTCTCCTATCGTACCCATTAGCCAAATATTTATTTTCTAGATTTTCAGATCTATTAGATAATAACATTTACACCATAAAAAATTCAATAAAGTTTGTAAAAAAAGTTAAAAGCATTTCTCTTAGAAATTTACTTATGGTTTCTTTTGATGTAAAATCATTATCCGCCAATGTTCCAGTGGAAATGCATTAAGATGTCTAGAAACCAGACTTCATGAATTTAATTTCTTCTGCATCGAAACGGATGAGCTGATTTTCCTTACTCAATTCTGTTTGAAACAAATGCATTTTGTTTTCCAAATTAGGTATTACGAGCAGACTGAGGGATTAACCATGGCAAACTCTCTTAGTCCCGTCCTGGCTTATATGTTCGTACATTATTATGAATCAAAATTATTTGAAACTTTAAACTTCCCAGTATGGTTCTGCTACATAAACAATACTTTCACCCTGCTTGATGGTAATAAAGATAATTTAAATAAAGTTTTTTCAATAATGGATTTCATTACTCCTGCTATTCAATTCACTTTTGGACTTGAGACATCCAATTCTGTTCCATTCTTCGACATTCTGATCACACGTAACACATCCAACTTCAGTACTATGGTTTACCATAAACCTTCATCGGTTTACGTTCCACCACACTTCAAATCATGCCATCCGACTGAACAGAAGTTAGCTTCATTTCATTATGATTAGGTCATTCATGTAGGTCTTGCTTCATGACATATTTATGTATGGAATTATATTCGGTACTATTCCGTTTTGAGGATCGTAAAAAAACTGCAGCAAAAATGTATGAGTAAAAGTGCCAAATCTAGCATATGCGGCCATTTAACAGCGCACCAAATCTAGAGTACGCGCTTATTTCAAATTGCGTTTAGATAGTTCTATATTTCTTAAGACACCATTGAAATACTAGTTTAATTTTTAAATCCTTTTTTTGATGTCCTATGGATTTAACAATTTGGGTATTGCCCATGACGAAAAGTCTGCAATAGAATTTTTTCAAAGAAAAGGCATCATTCATTATAGAAAATTATGTTTGAACAAGCAACGAGATGAAATTATGCTTTAGCGATAACTCGATAGCGAAATAGCAATGCAAGAATCCATTTAGTTATGTTTTGCCTTTTTTTATATAAATTATAATAATGATCTGAAATAGTTATTTTACTCTTATGCTTCCATTCAGTTATGTTAAGCCTTTTTTATATAAATTATTATAATAAAAAGTATATGAAATTAACCTTACATCTAAATTAAAATAATAAAATCTTAGATAGTTATTTACTATTATACTTCCTTTCTTGCGTTAGGGTTGCCGCAATTATTTTTAATAGCACTGGCATCAACAATAGTTTGGCGATTTTTACGGCCCTCAAAATGGAATAGTACCTTATATTCTAATAGTAGTATCTTGCTTTCAATGATTTCTTGGATTCTACTAATTATGTTTGGTATGTCATTTTTCACTAGTTAGTAGTGTATGAAGTATTCAAAATACTTAAGTTTAGCTGGTTGAATTGATGCACTTCTTCAGGTGTCAGAGCTAATAACTGTTGTGTAATTTTCAAGAAAAACTGAGATGGCTAATTAAAATCGTGTTTGCAGGTCATCATGATTGAGACCTGCAAACATTGTCTTTGACTGAAAACAATGTGCTGTCTTGTGATAGCACAAGTAAATGTTGTAGCAGCATAATGAGCAAGTGGGTATTAACAGTGCTTGGGGAATAAGAAGAACCATGAGTCCATCAGTGTTGCAAAGAGTCATTATGTTCAGCACAAGCCACTGTATGGTGTGATTTCACAACATCCATCATTATCTGCAACCTAAAAATGTTAAAAATGAATTTATGTGTCCTTTTAAAATTAAATGTTGGTGAAATGAAATAGATGTCACTTATATCATGCACAGATCTTGCTACTGAAAATATACTTCCTTACAAAGAATTCAGTATTATAATCTTTTTTCCTAATGTTGTCAACTATATAAATTGCAATTTCATAAATTAATTGTTAGGGATGTTTAGCCTTCAAATAAAATTAAATTTTTCTGAAGTTATTTTATTTTATTTATTTATTTTATTTTAAAATTTCTTGGTATGATTACATGTCTTCAGAAATTTCATTCATTCCAAAGTTAGATGAAAATAATTATAACTAACTTTTTCAACATGGTAGTTATCTGACTCATTACGACAAAGACTATTATTGAAAACATTGCAATTAATATTGGTTCCAAAGACACACATTTGTGAGAGTATACCAATTGCACCACAAATGTGGATAGGTCGTACAGAGTGAGTTAGCTTTTGAATTTAATCTCACGTGCAGGCTTTCCCCCCCCCCCCAAAAAAAAGTTTCAGTAATATTCAGGAATATTTCAGTAATGTCTAGGACATTTACAAACTTATTGCTGATGATGTAATGGTTGTCAACTATGATTATAACTGGCACACTTATTGGGTGAAATGAAATTATCACATATGGTGCTTTAACAGTAGAGGTAGACTCATTAAACTGTTTGTAGTAAAAACTTGAATGTCATTCAGAGGAAAATTTAACTGTTTTAACATATTAATATTAATTAGTTGCATAATTTGTTATGAATTTGTAAAATGTTTTTATGGAATTATTAATGACCCTGTATTTGATTGTGCTTTTAAAACTTCTACTTCATATATATTGCATCTGCTTCTCTGTCTAATAGAGATTAGACATCCAACCTGCCTTGTTTCATAGTTGTTCTGTTGTTCTGTTTTAGCATACTTCTGCTCGGAAAATGAATGTTAACTTGAGCAATCTGTGGCCATTAATATTATTTGTATATGAAGGCCAATGTCATCAATTGAATATGCATGCTTAATATTATAATCTACAATTGTTTTATGAATCTTAGTGTGACGATTTTTGCTTTTACTTTGTTGTACTGAATTTGTGAACATACATGAGTGGAGCTACTGAAGCTAAGCCCTGAAATTAGTGTTCAAGTTCTTGAACATCAGTCAGCTTTTAATATTATTTAAAAATACCTTTCACTCTGAATAAATGATGAAGCTACATTATGTAGCATATCCGTTAGAACAGGAAATATCTGCACTATTTTTTGCACATCTTTTCTCCTTTTTTTTTTCATCTCTATGTAATAATTATGTAAGAGGTGCTCATATTGCCTTTTAGTCCATCTGTATCATTTGTAACTTAAATGATTGTCAGTTTGAAGTGATTTGTAATCATTCAACGTCTATCAGTATTATATTCTTTGTAATCTTTTCTCGCACTGTTTTCAATTCTCCATGATATAGGTTCATCACATATCTGGCAATAAAATATTTTTGTGATATCTACCCTTTCCTTAAAGCCTAAAATACATGGTTATGTTCATTATTATGTTCAATCTAGCTTTAAATAGGGTTTTCATCTTATCTAGTTTTAATCAAAATAGTTTCTAATGTATATTTAACCTCTTTTGGAGGTGGAATGGGGAACGAATAACTATTTTTACTAGAGAATTTTAAATATTTTTAAATATTAATATATATCCTCCAAAAGGAAAACGTATCAGATATACCACTTAAGAGGTCACTTGAGGGCAGGAGAGATGATGCTAAAATAAAGAGGGCCGTAACCTCAGAAATGAAATATATATATATATATATGCTAATCATTGCAATTAATATGAAGTTTGCAATTCAAAAAAGAAATTTGAACAACAAATAGGATTTTAAAAGACCTAGGGTTGGTTCAGTATTATTTTTATAATAATGCAGTTCAAATAAATTTAAATTGTGTGTATTCTTCTTAGTGTAAAATGTTATTCGCTATAATATGTGGAATTCTGGAAATTTTTTAATGTATTTAAAAATCATTTTCATGATGCGCTTTTGATTTATTGTAATTCGAAGTCAAAGTGAATCTGCTAGAAGTCTTTTCATTGTGTTTAATTAAAATAATAATAAATGTACTACTTTCAAATCTTCTTTTGAAACTATGTACATTAATGAGTTAACTAATAATTTCTTTTAATAATTTAAGGTCCCAAAATGCAGCAGTTCAGCATTAGGAATATTATTGGCAAGCCTCTTCTTTGGCGCTCTCTTATTTATCACCAAATCAGAAAAAACCATGGAGAGGTTAAAGAAGTACTTCATCGACCTATTAAAAAAATATTAGTAGCGAACAGAGGTATTGCAAAATATATACATTTTCATTTTTTAAACCAATCACATTATTTTAAGTGATGACATACTTTTCTCACCTCCTCTGATTTTGCTTTTCTTTTTTCTTTCTTTTCTCTCTCTTGCTTCTACTTTTTCTTCTTTTTTTTAACGTCCATGTATGAAGTAAAGGAATTATTGTAATTACGAAAAATTTTAGGTGTCGTATTTCAACAGAAATATCCATTTTAACCATACGTAAATCCATTTTGACTATTTTTTTGCTTGATATCTGTACTTACAAACAGAATAAAGGACTCTTTTTTTTTTTTTTTTTTTTCCCTAGAATGGATTTTAAAATAAATTTAAAGTAGATTTAAAATGTTTTTATTTTTGCCACATCTGTATGTACACTGCTCCCCCCCAAAAAAGGGGGGACAGTGCTATATCTTCCGTTCTACTGGACCAATTGACAAAATTCAAACTGCATTATTCATGTCTCGAAAACGCGACTTAGGATATATATTAGATTTATATATTGCACTATTCTAACATAGGTATTTTGACACAAAATCGGACTTTTTCTGAAATAACGTACCATTTTTTCCATATTTTGATTCTACAACTCAAATTATGCCAGAATACCAAGTTTTGTAAAAATCGTACGCGTCGTTTTTAAAATATTAGCTCTTAAAATTTTAGCTTCTCAATGTTAATTAAATTTGGCAAATATTTATTAATATCTCTTTTTTATTAAACTTTTTGATTTTTTCTTTCACATTTCAACATTTAGGTTCATTCCAAATAAAATTTACCCATTTTTTGTGTTTTATTTTTTAAATTTCTATTTTTAAGTAATTTTTATAAATTTTTCAAAAAATATTTTGAATTATAACCTATGAAATTTTTATCATCATCTTAAAGTAGGTGTATTTCTAAGCATATCTGCAAAAAATTAGACTTTTTTATTCAAAATTTTCTAAGATATACACAAATTTACATATTTTCGCGTTTTGAAATTTGGCATCTTTTTTTTTTGAGCGATAATAACACCAAATGTGGTTTATTGATTTTTGTTACAGTGAATTGTCACAGCTGTTTTTAACCTTAAATTTCAAATAAAATTTTACGGAGAATTAGTTATGTGAAATTTTTTTCCTCAATGATGCATAATAAATATTTATTAATACTACAGTCAAAAGTCGTTAATCCGGACTCGTCGGGACTTCGGCGATTCCGGATTATCGATTTTTCCGGATTATAGATCATCAGTTCAAATCTGGTAAGATGGCATGCAGAAATTACAAAATTAAAAATATGAAACCGTAATTTATGAAATAAAGAACAATTATGATCTAAAGGGTATCAAAATTTACAAAAAGAAAAACCTTAATATTTATTTGTTTACTTTATTAAACATTTCCTTCAATGTAAGTTGCTTTGTTTCATGTGATAATACTTTCTCTTAAATTCTATTAAACAGACATAATTTCTTGTTTAGTTACAAAGTTCCGCTGTTCAAGTCCTATAATTGTTGTGTTGAGAATACCGACTAATTTGTCAATCGAAATGTTTTCGTTTTCAATAACCTCTGGGTCACTTTCTTTACTATCGGAAGCGAATTATAATGACGAGGAACTTGATTTAAATCATATCAAAGACGGAGTATATCGAGATGAAATACTACACTTAGTACGGAATTATAAACCGAATAAAATAAAAACATCTGCTCTGAAGATAAGGATAGTGCTAACAAATCAACTTCCAATCCGCAGCGTGAAATTGATAAACAGATTTCGGATTTCAAAACATACTTTCGCTTTGTAGATACAAATTACATATTAATAAACATATATCGGAAATTCTATTTGACATAATCTTTCTAATCTATCATAATCTAATAATGACGTTTCTGCCCCCTTCTCTGCCGCAGAGCAGCGTGAAATTGATAAACAGATTTCGGATTTCAAAACATACTTTCGCTTTGTAGTAAATATATATCGGAAATTCTATTTGACATAATCGAAAGTTCAAGCTTACTTTTATAAAATTGCTCTAACAGTCTGCAAAAAATAATAAGCCGGATCCAATTCGAAGATTAAGGAACAACGCAATCTGCAACATTAACTGAATTAGATAACTTTAGCTTAGCGTATAACTCCGTTACACATTAAACGCGCATGCGCACAAACATATTCGCAGCTGTAAGGGTCTTATGCGCTCTCGTAAACGCCTGTGCGCATGCGTGAACGCGACGCATGCGCAGAAAGTTTGTAGCTTTGAGGTATGAAGTGGCGGATTATAGATCATTCCGGATTATGGGTGTCCGAATTAACGACTTTTGACTGTATATGAAATGCTATTTTTTTAAAATTATATATTATTCAAATTTTTAACTATTTTTTTTTTTTAATTTCTCTCTTTGTTCCTTTTTTTAAAAAAATATTTGTAAGAGTAAATTTTTATCTTCGGCGTTTTATCGTCTGCTATTTTACTTTAATTTGAATTGTCTAAAACGGAGAACTTTCGTTTGATGTTTATTTGAATTTTATGAAAATATTTTATGACATTATCTGCATAATTTATTTATAAACAAGTTGTTGCGTATGAAGTGGCTGAAAGAGCGGCTGATATTATCATCCATATTTTTAAAGCACAGTATATTTTCATAGAAACATAAGATTTAGAATAATCATTCTTATAAAAGTCAAATTATGGTATAAACATACAACCCTCTTGAGACCAAATTAATGGAAGTTCAGTGGTTATGTAGAAATGATCTGCAGCTACTTAATGGCTGGATAAGTCAGCAGGTTTTGTGGACAAGTAAGAATAATTATATAAATGACACCCAACATTTTGGATTCAATTACCAACGAGGGTACAATGTTTATTAAATGAATTTAAGAAGTTTTTAAACATAAGAAATCGACTATTTTTTAATCCTAAAATGTATTTTATGCATAACGTATTTTCATTATATCCTTAAAATTCTAATTTAGAATGTAATTGTCAAGAACTGAGTTCTAATCATCAGCAATATAATAAATAATTATTACGGTTATTAATAAATCCTTCTTATAAAGTAATTGCAAATATTTCAAAAAACTTTCTGTCTGAATGCAAATATTTTTCTATGCAAATATTTCTAATTTTATATTACCGAAATTTCTGGAAGAAACGCTGCGGCGTTTACGTGTTTAAAACTTAAATTTTCAGCGGGTGCGGCGTTTCTACCCATGCAGCGTTTACGTGCACTAAAAATAAAATATTTCCTATGATGGTCATTGTACATAGTTTGGATGGCCTTGTCATTGTGCATAGACTGGTGCTGTTCCCTCACATAAGACCACTCAGTTGCTTTTTGCGAACGTTATTTTGTTTACATTCTTTCCCTTGAACGGATTTACATGCCTTATTCACCCTAAATGAGATTTCAGAACAATAACATTCTTCCCCCTTTCAAATCAACATTCTCATCAGTTCGAATAGTCTCTCTCCTCTGCCATTCGATGAATCTTCCAGGACCCATCCTCTCCCCACCCCTGCCTTTTCTGCAATTTAAAAAAAATTTGAAAACAAAGGCAGACACGACTCCACCTGCCTCGCAATAACGAACTCTGACGTATTTCCGCTTTCAGCATGAATGGATTTTTCTTGGCATTCTGCCAGATACAGATCCCATCAGTTTGGGTACGAGTACTTGTTGGATAGTTTTTAAGAAAGAAGGGAGCGGAAAATTTTTGAAAATGTCCCTAAACGGCACAGAAGCTATACTGCTGGTTTTAAGCTTAATGTAATTTCACGTGCTGAACAAATTAGAAATCGAGCAGCAGCTCGAGGGTTTGAAGTGGACTACAGATGTATTCGACGTTGGAGAACTGAAAACGAACTTCTTAAAAATATGCCACAACAGAAACGAGCCAAAAGAAGTGGTACTTTAAGGTGGCCAAATCTAGAGGACGACATTGCGAACTGGATAAAGGAGCAACGAAGAAAGGGAATGTCAATTTCGACTGTAAAAATTCGCTTACAAGCAAAATTTATAGCAAAACGAATGAACATAAATGATTTCAAAGGAGGTGTAGCAGATTTATGAAAAGAAAAAATATTTCTGTACGTAGTAGAACAACAGTCGGGCAACAATTACCAATGGACTGGCAGGATAAAAAATCATCTTTTCTAAAATATGTGACAGCTATTATTGAAAAAAAAAACACTTCTTCGGTCGCAGATAATAAATATGGATGAAACGCCATTAGCTTTCGACTCTCCTGCAAACAGAACTGTTGATGAAACTGGTGCAAAAACTGTATCTATGTTTATGACGGGGCATGAAAGAACATCATTTACATGTGTGTTAGCTTGTGCCACAAACGGTGACAAGCTAAAGCCGATGATCATTTTTAAACGAAAGACTATTCCGAAGAGAGATGGTATGTCATATATCAGGACTTAGGTTGAGTTTTTGCATCTATATGGCCCACGACGATGTCACGCGCAATTTAATATATTGCGGCATTTCTGTGTAGTTTTAATTTTCTCCCCGCCATTTTTCTCAAGTGCTGCATTTATGCTGATGCGGCGTTTCTGTGTAATTTTAATTTTTTCCCCGCCATTTTTCTTGAGTGCGGCATTTACGCTAATGCGGCCTTTCTTTCGGAAATTACGGTAATCAAGATTGCACACGATATTATTTATTCGCACTTCAATTCTTACCGTCAGCTGTAGTAGAAGTTGCATCTCTTATATTTTGTTAAGGAATGACCATCTAAGTTTAGAAAACAGTGTACCATAACAGCAATTCAATTATTGACACCGTAACTTTCATGTTACTCCCGATTGGCAAACTACATGATTTTTAATAAGTATTCGGGTTTTGCTAGTAACTTCACGTGGAAATCGCACTTAAACTAGGTTAGTTGGTTATTTGAACATAGAAAGAACATGGGAGCTATTTCCTTAAGATGCTTTCATAGAGAACCTTTGTAAAGAGAACCTAGAAAACTACGAAAACCAACCATGCAG